GGCAGGGGGGTTGGACTGGATGATCTCCTGAGGTCCCTCCCAACCCCACCACTCTGGGATCCTGCGTGATTCTGTGCGAGAGAGACGGCAACGCACCCAGGAGACCCCGAAGTCCTCGCTGAACGCGAGCTGTCGGGTCTCGCCTTAAAACTTTTTATAACAACATCCCGAGCAGGCAAAATTCCCGGTTAGAGAAGTCGGAGCCCTCCCCAGCCCAGCCCGCTGCGAACCAGGACCGTACCTGCCTCTGCATTTATTTTATTTCAGTTTTGTTTAAACCACGGTGATATTTTCCTCCTGGCCCTTTTGTATTCTGATCTGTGTATAGATCTGACTCTGAAATCTATATAACACCAACGCGAAAACAGATTTCAAGACAATGAATGCAAATCTGTGCTCAGAGACCATCTGCCAGATGAGGGAATCAGATGTTCGGTGGTTAAAGGGACAGCGCAAGGATTTCCTTGACTCATTATGTGCAGCTCCTCTCTTTAACCTGGCTTTATTATTTTTTTTTAACGGGATAGAAATATAATTTCTATTTCAGAATAAATCCTAACTCCTTCCATCCACGTTCAGCTGCATTTCAAAAATCCACCCTTCTATTAAATGCTGGATTGTTTTAGCGGAGTTTCATCCAGTTCTCTTCAGAAAAAATCGCATATTAAAATCTTCCCATAAAACTTTCATAAAATTGTATCCTTAATTCAGGCACGATTGAGGGCAAAGCCGGGACTCCAAATTATTCTGTCTACATAAGTGACAGACATGGTATTAGATGAACTAATACATCTCACACAATCTTTGTTCAAGGCAATTTACCATGCTAACCCACCTCCCCAAATTGATAAATATGCAGTAAGTGATTTTGCCAGGTTAGCAAAAGACGAGGCTGGCGTTATTTTAACGTTACAGAAAAGCAACAGCAGTTTGATGGTGTTACAGAGCAGAAGCCAACCTTTCAAGATAGAATCTTAGCATCTTGGAGATGCAATTTCTCAATCAAAAAAAAAACCAAAAAACAAAAAACCCCCAAAAAACCCAAACCAAAACCCAACAAAACAATCCAACCAACCAGGGTGAGATACTAAAAAAAAAGATTTAAAAGTGAGAAAACAAGAACATAGGATGTAAACGTGTAAACGTGCAGGCGATGATGTGGTACAGGACATTAGAGTGGGGTTTTGTTTGTTTTTTTAACTATTTCGCAGTAGGCGTGGGTACATTTCCTCAAATAAAAGCCCCCTCTTTGTACTAAGATCATTTTTGGCAATGCCACTCTGACCGTTTCTGCATTTATTCTTAAACCTGGAACAGGGACGGAAGGGGAGGGGGCAGAATTCCCACTCGATCTAACCTTGGCCGATGTATTTATAAGGAGAAAGTGTTTCCTAATAACTGAAATCTCTCACTCCTAGTGATAAAGCCGAGTCTGTCCCTGCAAGGGAGTCCGATCGGATCCAACCCAGATGCTTACGCCGTTCCAGCCTCAAGGCAGCCCGGTGCGGGACCGTGCCCGCTGTGGGAACAATGGGGGCTCGTGTGCCGTGGCCCCGGGGAGCCGGGCTTTTAGGGATTCATAGCGGGTCAGAGGGCAGCGGCGCAGGTCAGAGGAGATGCACTCCCTTCGCCCCAAACAGCTGCCACCAGAATTCTGCACTTCAGGGATAAATGAAGGGAGCCTTCCTCCCCCTCCTCTCCTGCCCCAGCGGGGGCTGCTCGCCGTGGGGTGCCCTCCCCACACCGCGCCCGCGGGGTAGAGCTTTGTGAGCGCTAGGGAAGCGCAGCCGCGCCTGGCCGGCTCACCGGCTCCTGCAAGAGGAAGCGCTTCCAGGGGGGGGGAATTTTCTCCCCCCTTCCATCTAGCTTACAGCGTATCTTAAAAGGACAGGAGTTCCTAAATACTTCGGAAATTATAAAGTCCCGGTTTAGATTCCCCAATTCAAGCCCGTGTTTTAAATACAGTTTGGGAAAAGCCCAAAGCTCTCAGACTCTTCTGATGTAAAGTCACTGAGTAAAAGCAGCACTTGTACTAGTGCAACCTCCGGTAAATTTGGATTTGCACTTTGGGGATTTCTGCGGTTCGGCTGAGGGAGTCGGTTCCACCGGCAGGTAAACGGTAACTCCGGGGGGGATGAGCGCGTTGGTTTGGGGAAAAACCCCGCAAGACCTGAGGAGGACAGCTCGGTCCAGAGAAGGAATCCTCCAGCAGCGCATCTTCCCTTATCGTACTGACACCCAGTTCGAATCACAATTTAGAGGCGTAAATAAGAGCACGCCCAGGGCTGGGGTTTCTCAGAGCCAAGCGGCACCGAGAGTTAAAACAACCCTAAATCCGCAGCGGTGAGCGGTGGCGGGGCGGTTGCCGCGCACAAACCGAGCGCGGAACGGAGCCGCCCCGGGGCAGGGAGAGGTGTCGGGCCGGGCCCCCCCTGCGTCTCCCGGGCGGGCGAGCAGCCGCGGGGCCGGGGCTCCCACCCGCACCGGCACCGCTCTGTGCGCAGCCCCCGCAGCTCTCAGCCACGCCGCGATGCGCGGGTTTCATTCTCGTGAATCGCTCCAAGCGACTTTCCTCCTCGTTCGAAAAAGAAGGGAAGAAAAAATAAAAAAAGCAAGTGGTTCGGTGAGCGCTGATCATTTCCTCCTGGAGGAAGAGCTCTTCCCCGCAAGACTGCCGCACTCCTTTCGACATGCCGGGGTCAGAATGACAGGTGAGGCGGTTTTGACGTGGTGAAGCGAGATGCTCGTCTTTGGTAGTAGATTTATTTTTTTAACAACGTCGTTTTATACACCAGAGTCAACTTTCACCACTCGACACATCTTCAAAACTCACAGCAGGAAGAAACATACATATATATATATATATTGAAGATTGCGTCCTTTAAAAGCATAACCTTAAAACTACTATTGTTTCCTCTCACATTCAAGGAGAAAACGTCCATGACAAAGTTAAACTACACCTAAAGACAGCACGGGTAAGGAAGCTTGCATTCTTGTTCCTATTTGTGAGAATTCACCATCCTTCAGGTGTCCCAAGGGAATGAATCGTAGGTTAAAATTCTCAATGTCAGAATGGAGAAGGATAACTAATCTTTGCCTCTTTATCCAACAATCTCACTGGAAGTTTCAGCTTTCTGGTACACCTGTACCAGAAAAAGAAATGTGCCTGTTAGAAATGTTCCTTTAAGCTATTAACAGCTTAAAGTTTTAAGTCATTTGTAACAGAAGTGATTCATGTTCAAACACACATCCATCAAATTTTTGGCAATGAAACGGTATTTGACAAACAAAGAAGTCCCCGAAAATAACTTTCAAGAGCCTAACATAAGCATAAACAAAATATTTACTTGCACGGGACACCCTGCAACAGAAACGTGTCTACAAGAAACGGGAAGAGGCAGCGTTGTGAACTCGTGTCAGGAGAAGTGTGTGGAGGGCAGTCAGAGCAACAGGCACTCAACTGGAGCAGAAGTCTGCTCCCACTGATGCAAGACCACTCTTGATTTACAGGACCACTCTTGATTTACAAGACCCTCGATTTAATTGAAATAAGAACTTATATAGCTTAAGGAAAAAAGCTTCTTAAAACGTTGTTAATATGAGAGGTTTAAAGCAGTTCAGGTGCATGCAACTAAATCATGAAAGCAAACCTGGCTCTTAGCTGTGAATAGAAAATGCAAAACAAGGACTTCAGCACTGAAGTGCTTCTGGTTATATTCATTATAAGCCCTTTTTAATATAATCAATATACAGGTTCCCTCAGTAGATAACTCCCCCACTGGATTGCTGGGAAAAGTTTAATCTCCAAGTATAAAATAACAGATCCTCTCCACACACCCCCCCATCCCTCCCACACCATTAGGAAATAACCAGAAACATGGATTTATAGCTGTAAAATCATGAGCTATACCTGATC